CACTTTTTTTTTTTTTTTTTTTTTTAATGAGGGTGTGGAATTTCAGATTTTCTGATCTTGAACAGGTAAGAGAATAGTTTAAACCCCACATCTTTTAACCTTGCTTCCTTAGGGAGAGAGAAAGGTAAAGATAATTTTTTAATTGTTAGCAGTATCTGAACTATACCCCAAAATGAAATCAATCCATTAAGTTACATTTTAAGAAAAATCCAGGTCCAGACTGGTATGAAACAGCCAGTCTACTCACTTGGAGACTAGAGAATGCTACTTCATAGGTGTATGATTATTAAGGTAATTATTAAGAGTAATTGAAGATAAGCTCCATGAACCAATCATATTTAAGTATTTGCTGTGGTATACATTGAGGCATTGCTACTACTCAACACTGATAGGGTAGGTTGGTTTAACAGCTGAGTGTCTTAGGGCAGAGCAGTAAGTCTCCTGGTATGGTTGCCTAAAGGAGACAAGTAGCACTCAAGGATCAAAATCAAACTAGTAATAACTCTTTCTGGTGATGACTTAACAGAGCTGACTTTAAATGCCCAAGTCAGAGTTGGAGCACTTGAAGCTGTAAGAACTAGGGAACCTAGTTGAGGTTATGTCATATGTACATCATATATCAATATTGATAATTTGGCAATGGCAAACAATATCCTTGTGTTTTTGCTTTTGTTTTTATCGATATATGTTCTGTTCTGAGTTCTTAATTGAAGAGAGCTGTTCACTAAAATTGGAGATTTTCTCATTTTATTCTCCACTAGGAATATTATATTGGCTATGTGTTGGAAATATCATTTTTAAAACTAGGTCTCAGACCAGCCCTGTAGTGCAGTGGTTAAGTACAGTGTTATTAGAACCTGGATCTCACTTGGCTGTTGGAATATATGTCCCAGTGGCTTGACAAACATGCCCAAAATCCTGGTGGGAGGAGGAGATGAAAGGGGATTGTAGGGTGGCTGCCCCCTTGTGGGAGTGAAATCTGTCTCTGCGGAGTTCATGTACTTTTTGGCAGTTAAAGGAAGAATAGGCTTCCAGGGCTGTCTGTACACTGAGTTTGTGGGCACCATCAGCAGAATCTTTGGTTTGTCAGTAGAACTGTTTAAATTTTCTGTTTAGTTGTCTGTCCTTGCTCTTGTGGAAAATAGCTAAAATTTTGAGGGTATTGAGTGCTTCGGTTTGCTGGTTTAATAAATTGCATTGTTTTTATTGTCTTCTAGAAAGGTAGAAATACAGAAACCTACCTACTTATCTTCTTTAATACAAAACCTTTTGGTTTCAGTTAGACTTAGTCTCTTTTCTTTTTTTTTCAATGGATGGAATGGTTTTATGGTGCAAGATAATTACAGTGCTAAGATAATTGCTTTAAGGTTTGTAATAATGGTTAACAGTGAATGCAGTGCTTTCTCTTTTTTTTGGAGAGGTTTTTGCTACAGGGCGTGTGCGCTCACCAGACAGACAGAAAGACAGAAAGTGAGAAATCACCCCCTGGAGGGCATGGCCACGCCACAATCCCTTCTCCATTCTCCTCTCGGGATCATGGGTACACACGCGCCCGGCGTGAGTTTAAGCCACCAGGTCCGGGACGCGAACCGCGGTCAACTACATGGGAGTCCTGCAACATAGCCATTACACTAACTGCTGGTCCCTGAATCCAGTGCTTTCTAAACTAGCCAGGGGTTCTTTGTTCAGATGAGTAGTAAAAATAATGCTGCCCCAAACATAGCATAAAGTGATGGTGTAAAATCCTGATTGGTGTGGGTTCAAGAGCAAACTGAAAGAAATATTGAGAAAAGGG